CACCAGAAAATCCTGTTTTCATATAAAATCTAATAATTAAAAAATGTTAATTAGTAGTATGAAGAGTATTTCAAACTGTGTGTAGACATGTAGTGAAGGTATTATAATATTCAGTGGACAGTGGTATACTGTATACTGGCATACGTCCTATCATTGATTATAAATAGTATTTATAATCGATGGTCCTATATAATATACATTATACATACTCATTTCACAACTGTCTTAATTCCGACATATTTTTAGGAAATTTTACCCAATTATGGAAAATGCTAGGGTGGTTCAGCGCATTAGTTACTTCGCTTATACTGCGTGAAACCGAAGGTTGAGACACGGCACTATATCTGGAATTACCTGTTGGCAACTGATATGACAATATAATAATAAGCCCCCTTTTAGGAAAATATAAATATAAATAACTAATATGTAATTAAACACAGTAATAAATAAAGTAAATAAATTAAGTATATGTCATGTATAAGTTCAATTAACCCTTTACCTATATATATATGAATTTATATCACAATTACATTTAAGGGAAAATAATAAAATATTAAAAACATGTAAAAAAAAAAAAGATATAAAAAAAAACAAAAGAATAGAATGTATTTTCAGCATAATCAAAAATTCACGAATCAACAGACAACAAGCCGCAACAATCTTCTGAGACAAAGTGCGAATATAATATTTTCAAAGTAGACAATAAGCATTAAACCAATAATTATAAAAACAAAAAGCAAATAATTTTTCATACGAAGAAGCAACTGCAGTCCAAACAGAAATTTTAAAAGTAGAAATAAAAATAAGAATAAAAAAAAAATATATACAAATCAAATTAAAAAAAAAAATAACTGAAACAAGCAAGATAATAAATACTTACCTTATGAAATACAAAAAGAGAAGAAGAATTAACTACCACAGAATCGAAGAATAAATGTCCCATAGAAGAACAACGAACATTTACTGCTATTTGTTGAAATAAAAATATTATACTTCAAACTGAGAAAAATCTCTAAGAAAACATTTTCCACAAAGAGCCAATCAATAAATTATTATTATTAATTTTAGAGAGTGTCATTAGCTAGAGAATACGAGGGTGAGGCGTATAGTAGGTTTACCACGTATTATCCAATACGGGTGATACCTCAATGCTTACCTATAATCTTTAATTTCATAACATCCTTCTTGCAGTTTAATATAACACCGCATACGATCATTATTATTATTATTGTAATTATGATCAACTACTTGTAAAGCAAATTTATTAAGTATTATCTTTGTTGATATTCGGTAATGAATTAAATGTCTATCTGCTATTTCTAAGTCTTCGTAAAGGTTTCGAAATTTATGTTCTGTTCTTGAAATAATTATTTCAGTTTTATAATAAAGTTTGTTGGGGGGAAAAAAATGTGGTGTGTACACGGTAAATATTTTTGAGTAAGGGATAAAACCGATTTTGAGTGTGCAAACTCCTAGTAATTTTAAAATACGGTAAATATTTTGTGAACTCGTGGACAAAAAATTTGAAATCTCCCCGTGATTTTTATTAAGGTAAAATCATTGTGTTCAAGCGGGATATCCTCGCTTGAACGTTATGAAATAACCGCGGTGAAAAAAAAACGTACTGTGAACATACAAATATATACTAATACTACTCACTTACCATAAATTCTATTTCTTATATAACATCGTAAAAAAAAATTTACATTTTTGTCACCTTATCAGTTATCAGTCCTCGAGGATCCTTATCACCCTCCAAAACTGCTATATAAAGTGCAAATAAATACAATGAAATGCTATACAAATTAGGTATTATCTAAATGAGCGGGGGGGGGGGGGGGGTCACGGCTCTGAGGAGTTCTAATCCAAGTCCTGCAGTCCCTAGAGTTTTATCTGAAAGAAAATTTTTATTTAAATTTCAGATTTACGCTAATTTCTGCTAAAATCTTTAAGATTTCACTTAAATTTGTTCCTGCATAAGATTAACATAATATTACGTGTAAAAACATCGTATATTAAGGCGATGCCGATTGAGTACCGACCGTAATTAAGGAGCTGTGTGTAGGCAATTTCTAGTTTCTTCAATTTTGCATTATCGTTTGTGCGTAGTAATATTATTGTAATATAGAAATGTTAACTGAGGTTGAATTTTCCGAAACTATTATTTGTGATTTATGTGAAAACAGTGAAAAAATAAACAAACAACGTCAACTTGGATATCAAAGACAAGAAAAATCCGCTGAAATCATGTTAAAGTTGTCTTTTTAAATCATTGTACCTATTTAATCTATTTTTTTATTTAAAATCATTGCAATAGTATTGTTTTTAGGTCAGCCAAACCAAAATTGCTGATTTACAAATTAGTGATTGCGTCTTAATAACAGTGGCTAAAGTAGATCGAGGACCGTCAGATCCTGACAATGAAATTGCAGTTATTGTCAATCAGGACGAATATAAACTTCACCAACTTGGAACTAAATATGGTCTAGTAAAAGGGTGGTACAATTCATCAAGTTTGAAACCAGTGACATCTAATATTTTCAAATTACTGGAGTTAATAATAATAAAGGACTTAAATTACGTGAAACAGTTTCTCATATTTCTGGGGGACATGGTTTTTTAAGTTGTATTTGTAAACGCCAATGTGAAACAAAACGATGTTCTTGTTTTAAAGCTTCTGTTAAGTGTTATAGTCGTTGCCATAACACTAATATTTGTAAAAATAAGTAATAAGGAGTATTTCTATAAATAATAAACAATATAAATATAAATAATTATAATAATCGTGAATACATTTAATAGATTAAAAATTAAACTTAATTTAAACTGGTTGTATTTTTTCATAACAAATCAGTGTTTGATATAAAATATGTTACAATTTAAAAATAGGTACTATATTTGTGTATTTCTATCAATTATGTTATTAGGTATTTCGTTTCCACGAAAAGTTGCCTATTGATGAAATTAATTTAAAATATTACACAAAGTGAAAAATAATAGCTTCTATTTCATGAAATGGATAAAATATATTTTTGTTTCATGAACTAAAATTTGAATTACACAATATGATCGTAGTTCATGAAATGGATATCCATAATAAACACTAAGTGGGTGCGACATAATATATACAGAATTGGGCATATTATAGTTACCTACATGTAACTAAGTTACCTATGTAAATCGGTTAATTTTGTAACAAAACTTTGTAACAAGTCACTCATTTACAATTTACCTTGTAACTTATAACTTGTAACCAGTTACAATAAATATAGTCTAAGCTGGTGATCAGTATACTCATGTTAAATTTAATGTATCATCATTATTAGAAAAGTGTATACTTAAAGTGCTACTGTGCGACGGCTGCACATCAAGCCCGTTGACGCGTGTACGCGTATGCGATTGCGGCTACACGTAGCGCGTCGTGTGTGACTTACCTCGTCGGCGACCTGTCCATAACCCTGTAATGTGGGAGTGAGTGGACTGTATTAAAATCGATAGAAAAATAGGAGCTGGTTGGGACAGGAACTTAACACTGTAACGACAATACGAGATACCTACCTACTGCGGTAACGCAAATATAAAGCAATTGTTTGCTGTCTAAAATATACAAATAATTTATTATATGTTCTGCAATTTAATCTTAAGTACTAGTGTTAGTGGTGCGCGATCACAAGCCGATCGGCGAAAACAATATAAGAATGCACGTCGAAGACGGCGAATAAAACAAATAAAATAATAATACAAAATGCGTCGAAAACCCTATGACGATAACATACAATAACAAATAATGCGCGTGTGTACGACCTGATACGCTGAGGTTGATAGCAGGTGATAAGGTGGTGATGGAGCTGTTGACCCGGAACGACGGTGAGGCTGCAACTGTTCGCGTCGGCGACACTGGTACTTCCGTCGAAAATGGCGAATGTGGTCGACGACACCGCGTGCTTGCGTTCGGTGGTCGACGATGGCGTGGAGGCGTCGGGACTCGGGACGACACCAAAATAGGCCGGCGCGGGCAAAATTACAATCGGCACTTGCGTACCCGTTGTCGCGGCGTAGAACGCGGCACAAACGACAACACTTAAACGTCACGGCTGATACGCTCGCACGATATAGGGCGGGCGGAAAACGCGTGGACGCGTGAGACAATATTCGCGTGGCGAATGTCGTACTGATGACGACGCAATACAATAAAACGATGAGCGGTAATGACCGCGAGGACGGATTCGCACGACGTCGAACGGACGGACGAAAACAATACGTGTACACGTGGGTACGTGTGGACGAGCCGTGCTCGAACCACACGACGATAGTCGGGCGGGCGACAAAATTACGATATTCTGAACGAATGATCGCACAAATACTTCGGTGGCGACGCGGCGTAAATGCGACGCACACAGAAGGAACCGACGGATTCAAATGACGAAAACGACGGGCGAACGGTAAACGTGTAGACACGTAGGGACCACGGCGGGGTCGCACTGCGTTAGAAACGAGCGGGCGACGAGAAAAGTACAATAAGCCGTGGTTTTGGCACTGAGCCGGAACTCGTATCGCGAAGACGAGTTGATGAGCAGCGAGGCTCGGGTGCACGGAACAACATGGACGGTATTGACGGCGACGGCGCACAGTGGGAGGAATATGAGTTCTAGCCGGCCAAAATTAATAAGGTCAAAAATCAATACATAAATGATAGGTATATAAATATTACATATATACTAAATTGTATTTCAACAGAATTTATTACTTTATCATTTATTACTATCAAGAAAAACAAAACATCACCAAATAACAATAATATTAGTTCATTTTATAACTTAAGTCAAATACTTATAATTTATTATTTGTTTAAACGTTGACATTGAATTTGAATAATAATATTACAAACAAAATCGTTTTATTTTTTATAATAAACATTTATGTATGAAATTTAAAAATTAAATTTATCTGGTACTTAATTGGATAACTAAAAAATTAATAAATATAAAAAACATAAATAATTATTCAGAATAACTACTATTTATTTCACCATCACTAGTTTCTATTTCATTCAGTTCTGAGCTTTCGATGTTAAGTAAATGAATGGCTTCTGGAGGTAATTTAGTATGTGATTTGTTAGGTTGTGTTCTTAAACTTGTAATTAATGGATCAGATGACACTAATAAGAAATTAAAAATATCTGTATTTGTATGAATACGTGATGATTTTCGAGAATGATGTTCTCTGAATCGATTGTAGTTTTTATTACTTGCCTCTTGAGCCTCTTCCGACAACTGCCCAATCGGTACAAGAGCATTTTTTATAATTAATGAGCCATGAATTAAAATTTTGTGTATACTTGGTGGCATTCTGTACCAATTATAATGTTTGACATAAAGTTCTGCAGTATCTTTTGCATAATTTTCGAATTCATCATAATTTATTTCAGAACCACAAGAAATAACTGTTAAAATAGTTGAGAATCGGTTTAATAAATTTAAATTGATTCCAGTGATTTCAGCAACTTTTTCTGTGTTCCTAAAAAACCGTCTAGCTACATTTCCTGTATTAGACGTACCTCTACCCTGAACAACTTTATCAACTTTAATACCTAATTCATTCCAAAGACGAAATTGTATTTCCTTCTTTTTTTCCTCAATTTTCTTCTTTTGTTCGGAAGTTGTTCGTTTCGTAGTAGGAGCCGATTCTAATTTATACGCAATGTGCAATACTAATTCTAAAAATTTTATCCACGCGTGTAAACTTGACATTCCATACTTAACATTATCTTCATTAACTACAAAACGTTTTATGTTATCCAAATCATTCATGTTAGTTGGGTTACATTTACAAATATAACAAAGTTGACTCGAAGTTTCGGTCAATGTATTTATAACCTTTCCATCAACCATTGTCATAAGCATTGTGTAGTTAATACATAAAACACTATTGTTAATATTTAACTCGACAGATTTTAATTCCATAATTTCTTTCTCTACTCTTCCGACTTCAGTATTTGTAACTTCTTTAGTTTATTTTGCATGTAAAATTTTTAAAGGTCTACAGTATCGGGTAGAAGAGGGTGTCGGATTTTCCCACAAAATAACTCGAGTGTTCGAAACCTTAATAACTCCTGTAAGACGCAATGGCACAATACAGAATAAAACAATGCTACTGTCAGTTATAGCATTTTGTCTGCACTCGGTATCATCAGTTTCTATATCATGAAAACTTTGGTGGTATTCGCTGTGACCCGAACTACCATCGCACCCCCACTTACATATAAATTTGAGCTCGGAATACTCTTCCGCATAATCAATTGTATCATCAAAATCTAATGTTTCCCATAACCGTTTAATTGTATGGTCCAACAAATTTTGAAGTGGAACTGACGCACTTATTTCACTTATAATTATACTTTCAGGGTAACATCTATATTTAGCTAATCGAACTCTATCATACGAAGGGTATATGTCAGCTCCGTGTTTTTTAGCACCTAATCTAGTTTTGTGATACGCATTTTTAGTCATGTGAGTATCGATGATAAATGCTACAGCCTCATCATCTGTGTAAGAAGTATATTTATTTTTCGCTTCATTTTTATACAATTTTCTAATCTTTATTGCACGTTGGGGAGAATACTCTGTTGCCTGGGAAACAAGATCGGCTGCAGCACGTTTCCCTTCAACATACAATGTCGATTTTGCTGCACAGATTAATTCATCTGATGAAGTTATTTCTCTTAGGTTTTTTATTTGCCTGCGCTTAGAACGATCACTTGACTCTAAAAAAGATTTACGTGGCCTACCAGAACTTGTGGAAGGTTCATACAATTCTTCACATTTTTTCAATAATGGAATTTTAAATTCTAAATCCAACCAATTATCATTTTTTTTTAAAAATTTAGTCAAACACCGATTTGAATCTAACCATTTCTTCTTTAACGTACTACTAAATCCTTCAACTTTATTTTGAATACATTTATCAAATTCCTCATTGCCTTCTAAATTCGATTTTTCTCCCAGCCTATGAGTTATGTAAGCAATCATTGCATTTCGTGATTCATAAGTACTTGATGTTAAAGTAAAACTATTATTTTTTAAAACTTCAAATAAACAGCGATTTTTTACGATGCTACTTTCATCTAGAAAAATAAATTTATTTCAATAAGGGGCAAATTGGGGCAACTTATACATGAAATAATTCAAAGTGTACATATATATGCTTAAACTAAAACAAAATTCAAACCTCTAAGAGCCTCTAAAAAAAATGTCTACACAATGAAAATTAAATAAAGTGGAATTTCTTTAGATTCATGATATCTATGAATTTTTATTACGACATATTACTTAATAAATAGTACTTAGAACAAATGTAACTTACTCATGTCTGTTGGTTTATCCATTTTTGATTTAGCAAAAAACAATTACATTTATACTCATGAAATAACGACAACGGACAAACTAAAATGAAAGCTATGTACGAATAACAAGTGATTGCGCTGAATGCAATAATCTTAAGTACATTACCTACTCCTATCAGCTCATTAATTAACAATTATTACATAATGTGATATATTTACCATCGTCATATCAGTGGGTGCAAATATTTTTAGTATTAATCGTTAATTATAATACCTAAATTTTCTATTTTTGGCCAGCTAGAACACGTATTCCTCCCACTGTGCGGCGCACCGGATCGCGTTGGTTAAAACATGTGGTTTTAACCCGAAATTTGCCAAGACGGCGGAGACGCGACAGTTGCCTTGGACGGCTCGAAAACGACGACGACGAAGGCGGACGGGTACACTTTCTGGAGTCTCGACAGCGGCGAGACCGTCCCCACTCTGGAGGTACAAAGGTTGACTTTGCGGTGCGCTCCAGTGTAGAAAACGTTGCGACACGGGACATGACGGATACACCGCGCGCAAATTCAATTGCAATGTGTACCCAACAGCTACAGAAATCAATTTTCTCTAACTTTGTAGAATTAACCTGAATTTAACTATTAATATAATATACCTAAATTCCTAGTAAATTAATTAAATACCCAAGTATTATTCATCCTAGTCTATTGTTAAGTGTCTTATAATAATACATTTTATTGTAAGATGAGTTGTATATAACTTTGACTAGGTATAGTATATAAATGTGCTAAACATTTGTTAGACATACCTACCTGACTACCTAACTACCTAGTACCTACTAGAGGAATTATATTTTCCGGTAAACCAAAGAAATTAAGTGATTTGACGGCAGGATAAATAAGAAATAAAAAAATAATATTAATGTTATACAATGCAACTTAGAAAAGAGGTTAAATTTTGTTTAATAATATTAAAAACTACCGCAGTGACGCCTAGGGACGAGTAGGCGAAGGTTGTAAGGAAATTGCCTATCCACCTATGTCAATAAGAAATTTATCTTTTATAAATGAATACAGTTTTATCTCTTCAAATATTGCGTACCTAATATTTAAATAAATGACTTCATCACTAATTTCCTCATCTGTTAATGAGTTATAGAATTCAAGCTTTGATGGTAAAAAATCATTATCTAATTTACTCCAACTATCAACATATTCATAAGGGAAGACTCCTTTCCGTGTAACTAGATCTAATGATTTCATGGAAAATATTTTAAGAGTTTCTCTAAACCTTAACTTATCTTCGGATAAATTGCCTGCAAGTTTACTTAACGACTCGCTCATAAATCGGAATGTGTCAACAAATTTTAAACTAAATCTATGTGCGATTTCTTTGCTAAAGGATATATATTTTTCTGACGAATTAGGAATAACGTGAATATCTTTATCATTACAACCGAGTTCTCGAATTATAAAGTGGCTATCATACGATAAATTATGAAAGAAAATTGGCACGAATGATGGACTTGTTATTTCAAAATTACATTGAAGACAGAGACATTGCCTATATTTTCCAGTTAAATGACAGTGATCTCGAACTTTAATTAAATTATTATTTTTAAAATTTTTTGAAAATTTTTCACAAAACTTGGTTCTTTGAAAATGTTTTTCTTCTCTTTCAGTTAATTTATCCATCGGTGTATTAATTTGATAAATTTTATTGATATTATTCCCGATATCAATCATATTTTTCATAAACTTTTTTGCAGCCTTCTCACCTCTATAAATCACTACCTTTGTCGGAATTTGAAACTGTTTTACCAGCTCTTTTGAT